TCATTACCACCTAAATTTTGAACTCTTAACTGAACAAGTCTCAATTTTAGAGATTCCATTTCATTTATACGTAAGAATGACACTTCATGGGGCCAAAGCTTTTCTAAAGACACTTCATTTTACATTATCAATCCAGATAAATACAACTGTTATTAACACAACCCTATTAAACTTCTTGTCTGGCCAAGTCACAGAAACTTGCCAGGATACTATCTATTTGAAGTCTTAGGGAAAGGTTTTGATTTAGGTTGATTTCCTGATTCTACTAATGAAAACCTAATCATATTTAAAATAAAAGCACACTCATACTTTAAACACATAGAATTTGAACTTACCAGATCCTCCTCTGAAGTTACTTCCTGGTCCTGGTCCGAAATTTCCACCGCCACCACGCGAATCCCCGAAGCCGAAGTTGCCTACAATAAATGCCCCAGTTAGAAGCAAGCCCTTATATGAACAAAAATAAAGAAACAGAATTGAAATTACCTCCTCTTCCACTCCTAGAACTCTGAACTTCTTGCATTTCTTGTCTAGACAAAGCCTTTCTTACTTCTGCATTATGACCATTGATGGTATGGTATTTCTGCACTGCAATGAAAAATTCAACCTCCTTTTAAATTAAATCAACAACATTAAACAACTTTAAAAGTTTACCTTTCAATAAAATTAGATGTTAACATACACAAAATTGAATACATAGTAAGAACAGTACATTTGTGGTTAGACACTTACATACGATTTTATCCACAGGATCATGGTCATCAAAAGTAACAAAGCCAAAGCCTCTTTTCTTTCCAGACTGTCTATCAGTAATTATCTCAATGGTATCAATTTTTCCATATTCCTCAAAGTAATCTCTAAGGTGATGTTCCTCAGTATCTTCTTTAATTCCGCCAACAAACAGCTTCTTCACAGTTACATGAGCCCCTGGTTTTCCAGATTCCTAAAATAGTGGTGGGGTAAAAGTCATCCCGACAGAAAAAAACACAAGCATGATTCAAAGTAGCCGACCTTTGTACCATACTTGGCTTGTATCCACCTTAAAACTACCAGATCTACAACAACACCTTTTAGGGACCTAGCTTTTGAAAAATAAGTTAGCTTCAAAAAATGGTCCAGAAACCCAACAGAGCTTTAATAAAATCTTGAGTTAAAACTAAATTCAGAAATACTTTCCGATGTTCAGCAAGGCAGCATTCTTTATGTTAATCGCACAAGACAGTCATGGTTTGCTTACCTCTCTTGCTACAGCACGTTTTGGCTCAACTACTCTCCCATCAATTGAATGAGGTCTTGCAGCCATGGCAGCATCAACCTCAGCCATGGATGAGAAAGTTACAAAACCAAATCCTCTTGATCTTTTGCTTGCAGGATCCCTCATTACCTTTCAAACCAAAGAGGAAACTTTAGCATTTAATCTCATTATAACTTATAAGTAAACAGTTATTATAATAGAATTTTTTACTATGCTGATATATTTACTTCCTCCATGATTCACTTAACAAACAGCTACGATACTAATATACAGTAACAATTCAGTAACTTACGTACCACACAGTCTGTAAGCTTTCCCCATTGTTCGTAATAGTTCCTCAAACTTTCTTCTGTGGTTTCAAAGCTTAAGCCACCAATAAAGAGCTTACGGAACTGTTCCTTTTCTCTCTGCAAAGGAAAATACCATTTCAATTTTTATTTACATTTTCCTCTTTGTATGCAGGAAATTAAATTCTTAAATATGAGGTGACCTGCTGGCAGAGTACCTTTTTCCTCTCCAAAGGAACAGTTTCTAAAGTTTTCTGGGGGGGAAAAAAAAAACTTACATCAAATTTAAACCATATGTTAAACTGCATATTAGTTGTGTTACACCAAAAAAATTGCCTCAGCTGATCTACACAAGTTTCAAAGTCATTAATGCTTGATCTAAATTTACTCAACATTAAATTATCTTAAACAAATGTATTATTACTTAATTTAAAAAATTTCTAAGGAGAAATGAACAAATGTAGACCGTGGTTATCAAAAGACTACTAAATCTTTACCAAAAATTTCAACCCTACAACCTAAAAACGCAGATTTCTATTTACAAACATCAGAAAATAACTTTTGGTTCGATGGTTATGACCCAAAGTTTTTATTTCTCGATTCAGTAACATTTATTTTCCCTTAACTGCCCCCTCTGGTGGTGATTCTAAGTATATTAGCCAAAAAAAACTTTAAAATACTGTTTCTCCCTATGACTGTGACAAAAATATTTAAAATCATGATATGCATTAGCAATAACCTTAAAAATTACTTAAAACCAGGACAAATTCATTTTTATGACCAGCAGCACTCAAAGCTTAAAAGTTTTAACAGGTTTTTGGTGGACATTGTCTATATAGGATATGACAATACAGAATATGAATTACTCAGCTTAACCTTATGTACAATAAAATACATTCACCTGGCATAATCTCTAAGCTAACTATTACTGAAAGCTGAAGCTTACTAAACTTGATTGGCCATGTGGCAAGCGACACGGCACAAAACAATTTTCTAACTCAATAGGAAAAACCTCAAAGTTGAAATCTTTAATACCTGCAAACAAGCAAATATGCCGTATTATATAGCCCTATATTTTGAGCAGTTAAGAATGTTAAGTAAACGTGTCTTAAAAATTAACTACGTTAAAAAAAAAAAATTAAACGAGAGGAAGTGATATCCAGGACCAACTACTACGAATGCATAATGCACACTAAAAAGTCACACGTAATTTTGAATGAAGAATTATTTTTTGTTCCTAACAAGCAGAATTGCTGCTCTCATCCCAGTTCTACAGAGCTCTCTCCCTCCATTCACATGCTCCCAACTGCTAAAAAAAAAAAAATAGTGGTAAATGCCAGTTCGGATTTTTTCCTGTAATTGTTTTCAGGACTGGTAAAAATTAAAAAATAATAATAATAACCGAAATGATCAAACTACTTCCTATGAGACACAACGCAGTCTTGACATGGTTACTTGCCAAAATAGATATTTTCATTTTCTCAATTAGTTTTTTAATTGTCGTCAGCACATAGGTGTCTCTAAACTGAAATTACCAATAATGTACATTTATAACAAGTCTTACAGATCACTAACAAAAAGCAAAAACTCATTACTTACCTCACAATTTTTCCAAACTTACCCGATGTCCACTATCGATTTTAAACAATGTTATTTTATAAACGTGCTTAGGGTCAAAGAAAATAACCAGGTAGACCCCCTTCGCTTGAGACCTTATGCTTATCAATGTAATGTTCAACCAAGATTGCAAACATAAATGAGAAAAGTAACAAAGTTCAAATACAGAGCGGCCCAGGCCCAAAACAATTTTGCACAAAAATACACACGCATTACAGGAAGGAGCCTCTGAAGCCATGTTTTAACCGAAGTACAACTAAGGATAAAATCGTTATTTCACTTTCCTCGTAATTTCTAACTAATCATCTATAATGGTCCATGGTACTGTCTCGTAAGGATTAAACTTCTCAGTAAAAACATTACTTAAAATACGAGTCGGCTCTACAACTTAAGCGGAATCCTTAAGAACAGTAAAGGCTTCTGACGCGAATATCCCTCCCCCGCCCAGAAAACCATCCTCGTCCCTGCCCCTCGTGGCCGATGGCTTCCAAAGTGTTTATTTTTGCTGCTGTTCATCTGCCGTTTTAGTGACTGCAGACCCAGATATATCCGTTACGCAAATAAATTTAAAAACCAGGAAAACTACAAAACGGTTTCTTTGTCCTATAGCTCGCATTAAACCCGGCCCGACGCCCTGGGTGGTGATATCTTCTCTGAAACCGGGCCCGCACACCCGGAGCACCCCCCCCGCCCGCTCTTCGGTGTGGCTTCCGAACGCAATGGCGCCATTTCATCGAGGGGAAGGCTGAGCGCCTTTAATGAGGTGCGCAGGACTCTAAAGATCCAAGCTCACAAAACACTCCATATCCACCTCGAAACGATATGAAAAGAGCCCGAGAAGAAAGAAAAATAGTTAACCACTTCTATGCCTTGACAGAGAAAGCACACTAACAGAATAAGAGAGTTATGAGAAAAACGCTGAGAGGAAGGCGAGCCATGAAAATGGCGGCCGCCAAATCCGGTTCCCGGGAGAGAGGGGGAGGGGAAGCTCCGCAGCCTCGCTCACGGGGACCCGCTGCCCGCCGAAACACTCGCCGCGGAGACGCCGTGGCCCCCGAAGCACCGTGCTTTAAAAAGGGAATAAGAATTCCCGCCTCCGCGCCCCACTTTCACTCCAGCGGGGCAGCGTCCGCCATGTGAAAGCTCCCCATCCCCCACCCCCAGTGAAGGGAAATGGCGCCGGAAGGCTGAGGGTGGGGAAGCTGTTTGTACGCTCAGGCCTCCGGTTAAGACCCCGTTCATAAACCTCAAGCCCCACTGCTACTGAAGCGGTTCGATTTCCTGCCGCTCTCCCACGGAGGCGGCTGGCCGACTTCCACAAGGGGGCCAACGGCCTCGCCATGCCCTTTCCAATAACTCATTGATTTCAAACCCGTTACCTCCATCGCGGACTCAGTCGCTTCAGCCCGATTTCCCGCAGCCGAGCGAGATGAGAGAGATCTCCGCGGACGAACACGAACCGGACTCGTCCTGGCGCTGTAATGAGAACTGCCGCTGCTCGAGAAACAACACCGCTAGGAGTACCTCCGCACGGGACCCGGCGCTGCTGCTACTGCCGCTAGAGCCGCTGCCGCCGCTTTTCTAGAACCTTCCCCCCCACTAACGCGTCTTCCTCTACGTCAGGCCGTTGCGTAAACGCCCTAACCGCCGCCAATGGCGGGAAGGCTCTACGCCCCTCCTTACGCCGAATGCGTACTCCTCCCCCTCTTGTGGCCAGCGACAGTGCCCGACGTTACTTCCGTAAATGCGCTCAGTGAATTGCGGAAGGCTCCAGTCCCGCGAGTTACTACCTCTCGGAATAGAGTCCCGCCCCACGCCTTGGCGCAAGGCAGGTAAGAAACGGTCGCGCAGTTTGAAATTAACGCCGACGGGAGGAGCTTAATCCGCAGCCCGGAGATCCAGCCCTCTCAACCTGGGAGGTGGTCCTTGCAGCTACGCCTTTGATAACCCCCGCCAGAAAAATCGTAGTATAATATGAGCCTTCCCTTTTCGTTTTCCGTGTCCCAACTCGGCGGATTGACTCGGCCCCTTCCGGAAACACCCGAATGAACTTCTAGTCAAATTATCGTTCACGCCACACTGACCTAACCCTGACCCGCGTCTATGCAGCTGACCCCTGGGGTACAGGAGGGGTCTCTGCTGAAAGTGGTCCCAAAGGGGTACTAGTTTTTAAGCTCCCAACTCTCCCCAAGCGTTTGGAGGATTCCGCACCCTCGCACCGCAGGGGCGAGGAAGTGGGCGGAGTTCGGTTTTGGCGCCAGCGCTGAGGCTGCAAAGCAGAAAAGCCACCGCTGAGGAGACTCCGGTAACCGTCCTCGCCCCTCCTCCCCCCTCCCTCCCCTCGGGGACCACCAGGCGCCACGCTGCGAACGGTAAGTGCCGCGGTCTTCGCAGCCGCCCTCCCCCTAGGGCCCCAATTCCCAGCGGGTGCGGCGCGCGGCCCCTCCCCCCCGCCGGGCGCGCGCCCGCTGCCCCGCCCTTCGTGGCCGCCCGGCGTGGGCGGTGCCACCCCTCCCCCCCGGCGGCCCCGCGCGCAGCTCCCGGCTCCCTCCCCCCTCGGATGTGGCTCGAGCTGTAGGCGCGCAGGGCCGGAGACGCTGCAGACCCGCGACCCGGAGCAGCTCAGAGGCGGTGAAGTCGGTGGTTTTCCTTCTCTCTAGCCCTCGCTCGGTGGTGGTGCATCAGATGCTGCACGCGCCCCAAGGGCCCGGTTCTCCGCTCCCCTCCTTTCCTTGCCGGACACCGCGCCGGGAGCTGCGGAAAGGAGTGGAGAGGGTCGGGCGGTGGCCTCGCGGCTGACCTGGCTCGGGGCCGGCGCCGGCAGTTAGTGGGGGGACTGTTCGGTCCTCGAGGGGGTAGGGAGCTGTGGCGACGGTCGCCCTATTTCGAGACAAAGCGCATTTTCCTTCCCCCTCCCCCACCAGCGTTCCGGCGGAGGCGCCCCCTCCCCCAGCCGCCACGCGGGGCTGGGTCGAGACTTGGGCCTCCGGGAGGGCGGCGCGTGGTTCCGCGTCCGCGAGGCCTGGCGGCGCGCGGCCGACTATCCCGAGGTTGCGGCGGCCGTCCAGTTAACGTGGCCGCCGCGGGGGATAGGCGCGTGCGGTGTGGCGCAGTGCCCTTCAGCCCCCGCGCCGCGGCCTTTGTTTCTCCCTGCGGATGCGCTGACCACGAGGCCCGCGCTCCCGGGTGGGGGCGGGCACCTGCGCTTAGGCCTCGGGACGCAGAGCTCCAGCGGAGGGGGTCGGAGGCGGAGGGGGAGCGGGTGTGTGCAAAAGGTGATTGCGTCTTCAAAGTGTCACGAAACGGGGTTGAAGCATCGTTAAGTTTTTTCCTTTAGTTAGTTAACTGCTGATTGGAAAAAGAGAGGATTTCTGAGCAGAAACAAACTTAGGATTGCAGAACAGAGAAGATTCACAGTGGTTTACAGTTGTGAATTGTTTGGGTAATCGTGCATGGTTTTAAACCGAAAGGATTGTCCTTTAAAAATGGAACATGGACTTTATTACAAATGGGACTTAGATTAGAAAAGATATTTGTCCCCTATGTTAAGCCATGTGAAGCTGCCTTAGGTACCAAGATCCCCAGTAAAGTCTTTCTAGAATCTCATGTTTAGAACACGTACTTACGTGCATCATAAGCAATGTAGGTAGGAGCGCAAATCTACTCTGGATTTGTATCAACGTTTGAAATGTGCGCTCCCTACTTGGGGGTTGGAATCCAAACAGAACTTGTATTTAGTTACCTTTTTTGTGTCGTGCAAACTTCTCTTAACTGTCATGCATTTTTCTAGTAATAGTTCTTCAAGTCTGCAATAAAAAATGGCCTCCAATAAAACTACATTGGTAAGTTAATGAAAAGCTAAAGTATGTAAGGATTTAACCCAAGGTTTTTTCCCCCAAAGTATAACTTTGCATCTTTGTGGTTGAGAAATTTACATCGACATATTTCCCAGCTCTCCCCGTATAATTATAGGGGAAAATTAGGAGCAAAACGAATTCATTACATGGAGATACTTGCTGACTTGACTTAATAGCGTCTTAACTAGTTTAATCTTTGAAGGACAGTGCAATGTGGATTTTGCTGAGGATTTTTATCTTCAGGTATAAATACCCACATTTTTGCAACATGGAAAAATATTACATAAAATGATAAAGCCCTTGTTGGTTGGCATAATTTTCCTTAAATCCCCAGAATTCTGGAGAAGTATTTTCATTAAAGCCAAATTTAAAGAACCAGGTACCTTGTGCACCTAGGTTGGAGCAAAAGTTACTGAATCTTTCAAATTGCTTTGGTCACTTTATCTTGTTTTAACTTACTCTGAAATATGGAAGAATGTTAAATATAATTCATTGCGGTGTTTTGTTTTTTTAAAAAAAATGATCGAAATAGCAAATAGATCCAGAAGGGAGAAAAAGCTAGATTTTTTGTATCTTATTCAGCCATGTCATGTTACAAGTTTTTTAAAACCCTGGAATATTCACATAAAAATCATGAAATTCAAAGTTACAGTTTTCACAATATTTAACTCAACATATTGCATTAATCTTAAGCCCGTAAAGGTGAATGTTAATGTCTCCTAGGTAAAGTAAAGCATTTGTTTTTGGTCTATATGTTCTCTCTGGGTTTCACACTAGAAAGGGCACATTGGTGATTTTTAATTTGTGCCATCATTAGATTCTATGTTAAGTCAGATATCCTGGAAAACAGAATTTGTTTTTGCATGCAATTGATACTCTTTGGGGTCTGTTATTTATTGGTATTTAAATAGTTTATTTTGTGAGGGATCACAGGTTGGCCACTTTAAAACTTTTTTTAACTTTTCATTTTAAAAATTCATTAGTGGTGTGAGATATGTGTGCTGTTAATTTCATTTAAATAATGGGAAATTTATTTTGACTCATATCCACATTTGGAAAAAAGTACTGGGTTAAGCCAAACATATACTACAAAAGAAAATGGTGAGCATTTGAAACTAGCTTATGAATGCCATAGTAGTAAATACTGTATGGTATTTTGTCTGCTCTTTTTTTTTTTTCTTTTTTTAACCTTAGTGTGTATCCTTTTCATTTTCTATATTTATTTTTTACTTCTTTATTTTGTTAGCCTTCTCCCTTTGTGGCAGTAGCTGTTTTGTTTTTCATGTAGTATAGGTATCTAATACACTTCTGTCTATTCCAGTTTGTCTTTGCTTCTCCCACTATTATTTGTACCTTCTTGTACTGTACAGTGACAGAAATCTGTTTGGGCCCAGTACTCAAGTATCTTGACTAATGAGAATCATAAGACCTGACTTGGAAATGGTATCCGAAAAAGTCAGGTGTTTGCTGCATTTTTTTGTATTCCAGGGAATTTTTATTTGTGTGTGTGTGTGTGTGTTACCTATATGCTTGCTTGCATAGCTTGAAATGTCATTTTGCAGTCTTGAGGCCTTTCTTACATGTATGTCTGCGCACTTCATATGCCTGCATAGCTTGAAATGTCCTTTTGTAGCCTTGAGGTGTTGCTGTTAACTTTTTTCTGCTTGCTGCTTTACTTGTGGGATGGCTTTAGTGACTGGGCAATTAAGGTTTATCTTTTTTTAATAGTATTTGGGTTTTTTGGTTTTGTGGGGAGTTTTTTTGAGACAGTTTTTCTCTTGTCCACGCTAGGGTGCAATGGCGTGATCTTGGCTCACTGCAACTTCGGCCTCCCGGGTTCAAGCAATTCTCCTGCCTCAGCCTCCCAAGTAGCTGGGATTACAGGCATGCACCACCACGCCTGGCTACTTTTTTATTTTTAGTAGAGACAGCGTTTCTCCATGTTGGTCAGGCTGGTCTCAAACTCCTGACATCAGGTGATCTGCCCACCTCAGCCTCCCAAAGTGCTGGGATTACAGGCATGAGCCACCACGCCCGGCAGTAGCATTTGTTTTAAGATGAAATGTTAAGGTGGATTCCTTCTCTGCCCATAGGATCTTCTGTTCTGATTAACCATTTTGGGGTTTCCCCCCCCCCCATTTTTAATCTCATAAAAATTTTCCCCATTTTTAATCCTCTCATAGCAAATCTTGAGCTATTGGAGAGAGCTGGTTGAGGTTGGTCTCCTGCTTCTCTTAAATAGTGTCATACAAAAAAATGCCTGTTTAAAGTGAAGTTGGCTACCAATATAGACTTTGTCTTGAGAAACCAGGAAGGAAGGATTTTTTTCACCTTAGGGAATTAAAATCTCCCCTTTTGTCCTCTTGAAGTGACAGCTTTATAGGTTCTAAGTGGTAGGAAATATTATCTACAGAGATGGAAAAATAATCTTGTCCTTTAATTTAACCTCCTAGTGGTCTCCATAGTTGACCTTGCAGTTGGTATCAGGATTGTGAACCACGTGTTCATTCTGCGCTTACCTTTTATCTGTATTATTGAAACTTTTGACATTAGTATTTGAATTGAGAAGGAGGCTCTTAGGTCTACTGTTGGTTCACCTAAGACCTGTCACTACTATTTTCTTCTCTGTATCACCCTTTAAGTACTTCCTGCATAGTTGCTGTGTTGTTAAAATGAGTGAAAACTCTAGTAAACTTGGTCTTTTAAGACTACAGGGCCGGGCGCAGTGGCTTACGCCTGTAATCCCAACACTTTGGGAGGCAGACTCACTTGAAGTCAGGAGTTTGAGACCAGCCTGGTCAACATGGTGAAACCCCGTTTCTAATACAAATACCAAAAAAAATTAGCCCGGCATGGTGGCATGCGCCTGTAATCCCACCTACTTGGGAGGCTGAGGCTTGAGAATTGCTTGAACCTAGGGAGGCAGTGGTTGCAGTGAGCCGAGATCACGCCATTGCACTCCAGCCTGGGCAACAGAGTGAGACTCTGTCTCAAAAAAAAAAAGACTGGAAAAAAAGTAATTTTTCCAGATAGTGTTTTTGATTGTATTATTTTGGTGGTGGGTCATAAGTTTGAGCTAAATCAACAAAATAAAGCATTCTTTTATTTTATTGTCTGTTGACTTTTAATCTTTCCCTGTCTGCCTTGGGATATGGAAGTAAAAAGTAAAAATTTATGTTGAATGTAATAATAATGTAAGCAATTGAGCCTTGAAAATGTGCCCAAAATTCAAGAAGAATATTTCTTAATTTCTCATTTGTTTTATTTTAGCAAAAAATGGGGAAAAAACAGAATGGAAAGAGTAAAAAAGTTGAAGAGGCAGAGCCTGAAGAGTTTGTGGTGGAAAAAGTACTAGATCGACGTGTAGTGAATGGGAAAGTGGAATATTTCCTGAAGTGGAAGGGATTTACAGAGTAAGAAACTTTAGCGCATCTGTATTGTATGTTTGACTGCAGCTAAGTGGTTTTAGAATTTGTTTTTAACCTGACTCTTTTACCTGCTTTCCCATAGATGTCTTTAAATGTAAAGACACCTTGAATTTAGGTATCTTATTTGAAGTCTATTTAAAAAGAACCAAAACTTTATTGTACAGTTGAAGCTGAGCAGACTAGAGACTAGTTTATTACCCTGGGGAGTCAAATTTGTAAAATTAGACAGTGTAGTTTACTATGTAATATATTTTAATGTGGTTAGATATTATACTGATTATAACAATCTGCATTGTTTTCCTCCACACAGAGGGTACTAAAAAACATTGAAGCTATATAGTATCGAGTAGTGGGTCTCATACAGGATTACATATAATCTAGACTTTATACTAAGTTTATTATGTCCTAATACCTAAGAAGTAGAGCCTGGGCTTGTTTTAAGCTCTCTGGTTCCTTGTGTTCTTTGATATGGATTCTTGATAATTTTCACAAAATGTGAATAACTTGAACATGCAGCAATTACATACTTTAACACTTGGTGTTTGTTGTGCTTATCTGCTTTGATTCTTCCTTGTTACACCACAAAGTTCCATAGGCAGTGACAATTAAAAATGGATAGGTGGAGATCAATTTCCTGAGCTTGCTGGAGATAGAGCATATGGTAGTCAAATGATTGGGCTTCACATATCTGTTACCTCGTGCTTTCCCTGCTTTTCACATTTAATTCGTAGCAGTTTGGGAAATATGAGTTGACTGGGAGATTTACGTTTTCCTGTTTTATCCTCCAATGTTTTTAGTTGAAATTAAGTATGTATCATAAGTCCATACTTTATTAAGCCCATGAAACATGAAAAATTATTTTTACCCAGCAAAACTTTAGGAAATGAATGGGCTCCTCCCTTCTTCTTCTCCGAAAACTTAAGGCCACTAGCAAAATTACACTGCATTTGGCCATGTGCAGTGTAATAAGTAATGTAAAAGACTTTCTTTTCTTTTTTTTTTTTTTTTGAGACAGAGTCTCGCCCTGTTGCCCAGGCTGGAGTGCAGTGGCGTGATCTCAGCTCACTGCAACCTCTGCCTCCCGAGTTCAAGCGATTTTCCTGCCTCAGCCTCCCGAGTAGCTGGGACTACAGGCATTTGCCACTATGCCCGGCTAATTTTTGTATTTTAGCAGAGACAGGGTTTCACCATGTTGGCCAGGCTGATCCCAAATTCCTGACCTCAAGGGATCCACCTCCCAAAGTTCTGGGATTACAGGTGTGAGCCACCACACCCAGCCAAGAAGACTTTAATGAAAATAATACTACAGAGCAGAGACTTTTATTGTTCTCTACCCAGTAATTTGGATTTACTAATTTAGAGTCTCAAATTAGAATGTAGGGCCTGGGTGCAGTGGCTCACACCTGTAATTCCAGCACTTTGAGGGTCCAAGGCTGGAGGATCACTTGAAACCAGGAATTCAAGACCAGCCTGGCCAACAAAATGAGACCCCTTCTCTATTTTAGAAAAAAAAAAAAAAAATTGTGTATGTTTTAAGTTAGCTGGGCATGGTGTTGCATACCTGCAGTCCCAGCTACTTGGGCTAAGGCGGAGGATCGCCTGAGCCGGGAGTTGGAATCTTCAGTGAGCTATGATTCCACCACTGCACTCCCGTCTGGGCAACAAAGCAAGACCCTGTCTTTGGCAGAGGCAGGCCGGGGGGTGGGGTAATGTAGGGAAGGAGGAAATTATTAGTATCTGCAGTACAGAGGACTTTTTATTCCCCCAGGTGTCTATTAAAATGGATCTGGATAATGGTGATGAATCGTGTCTAATTCAATCAATTTTTTTTTTTTTTTAAAACTAAACACAGTGCTGACAATACTTGGGAACCTGAAGAAAATTTAGATTGTCCAGAGTTGATTGAAGCATTTCTTAACTCTCAGAAAGCTGGCAAAGAAAAAGATGGTACAAAAAGAAAATCTTTATCTGACAGTGAATCTGATGACAGCAAATCAAAGAAGAAAAGAGATGCTGTAAGTATAAAATACTGCCTACCAGCTTGTCCTACTGTAAAACGTCGGTGGCTTGATTTCTTTTTTTTCCCTCCCCCCATGAGATGGAGACTTGCTCTTATCGCCCAGGCTGGAGTGCAATGGCATGATCTTGGCTCACTGCAACACCACCTCCCAGGTTCAAACCATTCTCCTGCCTGAGCCTGCCAAGTAGCTGGAATTACAGGCTCCCGCCTAATTTGGTATTTTTAATAGAGATGGGGTTTCACCATGTTGGCCAGGCTGGTCTTGAACTCCTGGCCTCGTGATCCTCCCGCCTCAGCCTCCCAAAGTGCTGGGATGACAGGTGTGAGCCACCACACCCAGCTTTTTTTTTTTTTTTTTTTTTTTAAGACAGAGTCTCCCTCTGTCGCCCAGGCTGGAGTGCAGTGGTACAATCTCCGCTCACTGCAACCTCCGCCTCCAGAGTAGCTGGGATTATAAGGGTGCGCCACCACACCTGGCTGATTTTTGTATGTTTAGTAGAGATGGGGTTTCACCATATTGGCCAGACTGATCTCAAACTCCTGACCTCAGGTGATCCACCCGCCTCGGCCTCCCAGAGTTATGGGATTACAGGCGTGAGCCACCCCAAGCCCAGCTTTGATGGCTTGCTTTTTTAAAACTCAGATACTTTTATAAAAGGCCTCTTAATCGTATTTTAAATATTTTAATATTTAGGACAATAAGGATGGGCATGGTTTAGCCTACATTGTGTTAAATGTGCAGTAAGTGCTTATGCCACTTAGGTTGTGCTAGTGCAATTTTTCTTAGTTTCATGGATTTGATCCCTGAGTAGACCCATTAATTACCTGTGATCCCAGGCTAGCAATCTTAGGTACAAACAATACTAAGATTGGATTATTGAAAGCCTTTGCACTATAGTAAAAACAATGCAAATAGAACTTTCTGATTATAGTCCATTAATGGCATTGACCACCAAAAAGTATTTGCATGTCATCTTTGTATTGCCAAACAATGCCTTGATTTTGAAGTCTACAGTCTTTGATAATCATTACACGCTTTCTTGACATGAATTGAGACATTCAGTTGATTTACTCTACATGTGTTTTGGTCCAGTCTTTGCTTTTCATGTCTCTGTGGCTTCAGGCAAGTCAGGTAACTTCCTACTTACATCCTTGACTGTAAAACAGATTATACTTATCTTGCCCACTGTCCTAATGTGGCAATTTGGGGAAACATCTTGGTGCTGAATTAGGTTCTAGGCTTAGGCACTATAAACATGATTTAAAACTTGATCATTTGAACTAGAAGCAAAGAAGTACAACCTTCGTGATAACTCTGTATAAGGTCATAGGTATAATCGCTATTACAGATGAGGAAACAAGAGATTGACTACAAATTTGGTTTTGAAAGTAAATCACATGCTTAACAGAAGCACAGTTTTGGCCAGGCACAGTGGCTCGTGCCTATAATCCCAGCACCTTGGGAAACCAAAGCAGGAACATTGCTTGAGCCCAGGAGTTGGAGGCCAGTTTGGGCAACTTATCTCTAAAAAGAAAAAAAATCAGCAAGACATGGTGGACGCCTCCTGTAGTCTCAGCTACTTGGAAGGCTGTGGCAGAAGGATTGCTTGAGCCTGGGAGTTGAAGGTGCAGTGAACTGTGATTATGCCAGTGCACGTCAGCTTAGGCAATGGAGCAAGACCTTGTCTCCAAAAATTACTAAATAATAAATCAAGCACAACTTTTAACAATACTTATTGAGCCCTTACCATGTGCCATACTGTGTGCCGAATCTTTTGCTTTTAATGTGCTGTGAAATACCTGTGCTATAGATACTAAAATTCTGTTTTATGAAACCACAAAGAGGTTGATTAACTTGCCCAAAGCCACACAGTTCGTAAGTGGGGTAGGTCCATTATTCTCACCCTGGCAGTGTTACTCCAGAGCCTATGACATTGACATAAAACTCTGACAGGAATAAAGGATTTATTGATATCATTTGTTCTCCAACTTTTTTTGGTCTTAAGGCCTCTTTACACTCTAAAAAAATTATTGAGGATCCCCAGAGAGCTTTTGTTTGTATGGGTTATAACTATCAATACTAACATAGTAGAAATTAAAACAAATTTATAAAATGACTTTTCTAAAAAAGTTGAGTAGCGTTTTACATTTTTACAAATCTTCGACTTGTGTCTTAAGGCAATTTTACTTAAACACATTTGATTGCTGTGGCGTATTGTTTTGGTGGAGGTATATGAAGACAATCCAAAGTCACAAATAGGTGAAAAAAGGGGGCCTTACCCAACCCCCTCCCAAAAAGAACTCTGGAATCCCCAATGAATCCGTAGACCACATTTTGAGAACCACTGGTTTATATTATATTAAGTACTTTCTAATGCAGGGCGTCCAATCTTTTGGCGGCCCTGGGCCACATTAGGAGAATTGTCTAGGGCTACACATAAAATAGACTTAACACCAACCACAACTTATGAGCTAAAAAAAAATCACAAGAAAGTCTCAGTATAAGAAAGTTTACAAATTTGTGTTGGGCCGCCTTTGGAGCCGTCCTGGGCCGCAGGTTAGACAAGTTTGTTCTAACATTTCCTATCATTTAGAATGATCACAGATAGTTGGTGTGAGTTTTAACATTTTTAATATTTCTCACTGTTTGTGTTTTGTTTACGCTTTTAAAATGCATTGATAATTCAGACTAATTCCTGGAAGTAATTTGAAATATATTAACTTTCAAGACTTTATTATTACCAGAAATAAAGAGATTAGTTTTTCTGTATGCCCACACAACTCTGCCTTTGGTGTCACTGAACGCAGTAATTTTCTTGAGTTTTGATTCTGAATGTTTTTGGAAATTTTAAGTGTTCTACATATCAAACTCAGGTTGTTTTTCTACTTGTAAAGTTAATGGAAATCAGATGTTTTTAATTACCAAATATGGGTTCTTGCCCTGGTCATGTCTGTCTCGCTATTGGAACATGTTTATTTAAAATAATGCCATGAAAACAATTTAATACTCTTGAGTTTGCTGTATGAAAAAAATGTCTTCTAAACAGGCTGATAAACCAAGAGGATTTGCCAGAGGTCTTGATCCTGAAAGAATAATTGGTGCCACAGACAGCAGTGGAGAATTGATGTTTCTTATGAAATGGTGAGTATGCAGGGACTGTTAGATTTGAAAGAAAGAATAGACTTTTTTAAATTTGTGAAATGGTTTTTATCATTAGGTAGGGAAAAATTACCTGCCAAGAAGGGATGATTCTGGTTTTACTAGTAGTGTTTTAAAGCAAGGGTCAGCACACTGTGGCCTGTTTTGAAAATGAAGTTTATTAGAACATAGCAACAAGTATATATATATAACCCTCCTGGAGCACTTAATACCTTTTGTTTGGACTATTATTTTTTTAAATGAATGGTTGTCAGTTGACAACTTAGACTTGTAACTGAATTTTTCTTTTTCTTAAAACAGGAAAGATTCAGATGAGGCAGACTTGGTGCTGGCGAAAGAGGCAAATATGAAGTGTCCTCAAATTGTAATTGCTTTTTATGAAGAGAGACTAACTTGGCATTCTTGTCCAGAAGATGAAGCTCAATAATTGTTCACATTGTTTTTTTATATATATTTATATATATATAAAATTTGGGTCTTGGATTTTGATTTACTAGTGTGACGAAATAACTACATCCTTATGAAAATCAAGTTTGATATGTTTGTTTTGAAAGTAGCGTTGGAAGAGTTGTTGGGGGGTTTTTTGCATCCATAGCACTGGTTACTTTGAACAAATAAATAAAAGCTTTCTGTAGTTGCTTCCTTTATCAGAAAAGAACATTTGATACCATGGTATATTATTTCCTCTTCATTAAAGAACAGCTTTTCTAAATGTTGGGGGAAATGTCCATAGTCATTACTCAATCAAAACTTGTGTTCTCATAAGCCTAAGGACCATTTTAGGTTTTTTACATGTTTTTTTGTGTGTGTGTATCCATAAAATGCATATGTAAATTTTTCTTTGTTTTTAAGCATTTACCCAAACAAAAAATCACAGGTAAACCCATGTTTCTGAGATGCCATTATTCTGACCAAAATAAGAGATAATCACTTCAAGTTAAATTGAAATTTTTCCTGAAACCATACATTTCAAGTGGAATAAGTAATTCTAAATAGGACAATTTAAATTGGATAATTTTAAAGTATCTATAATTGCAGTGGTTTATTTGCAAAATGCCTAAAAGGAAAAATTTTATCACTGCCATCGCAGCAGGTTTCCTCATCCAGATGAGGACACTAGACAAATGCTAGTGTGTTTTAACTAGCTAAACAAAACTAAGTTAAATGAAAATTTAAAATTTTCCCTAGTGAGCCATTCCTTAACAAAATGTTGAAATCCCTGTTGCTACATTGACTAAAAGGTAATGATGAATGGAATATGTAAGACTTGGCTCATATAAACCTAATCAGATGGTAGAGATGTTGGCAGTTGAGGACCTGCTGCCATAAATGTGTGAACAGCCTTTTGTAATCTAACCTATTGACCTGCATGTTTTTTCTTTACCCCAACTGATTCCTTACATGTAGGCTCAATCTTCAGTTATTTGCTTTACTGGTTCAACAAAAGCCAGGAAGAACAACTTTGTAGTAATCAGAGTGTTATCCAACTGTATATTGTTTACTTTATTGTAAATACTGGTGAACAGTGGTTAATAAATAGTTTTATATTCCTTTATGCAATTATTAGACTTTTCTTTATTTGATACACCTTTACGGTAGAAATAGAAACGCCCACACTCATTGGATTATCTTTGTTTATAAGTTGGATGATACCAGTAAGGCATTAGAGTACATATCCTAGATCTTTTGAGCTTATGAGTTTTAAACTTGAATATGTATTTCCACAGGAGTGTTTCCACAGTTGGGAGATAAAAGTTAGTTTCATGTGATCGCTAGGAGGAATTGTCTCATTAAAATGAGGTTTTAAAATCTGGTGGTTGTAACTGTCTTCTAAAGAACGTAAAGTATTCTGATAGGGCTCAGTGTGGTGATAGACACATTTTAATTGATTTCCAAAATCCATACAGAAAAGGAAATAACTGATGTCCTGTAATCCCAGAATTTGGGGAGGCCAAGGCAGGAAGATTACTTGAATCCCAGGAGTTTGAGTTCAGCCCGGCAACATAGCAAGACCCCCACCTCTACAAAAAATTTTAAAATTAGCTGGGTGTGGTGTCTTGGACCTGTAGTCCTTGCTACTTGGGAAGGTCCCTTAAGCCTAGGAGTTTAAGACAGCTATATATACATGTCCCTGTGCTCCAGCCTGGATGACAGACTCTGTCTCTCAAAAAAAAATTTTTAAATACTGTCCTTTTATACTCGTGTTTGTATTACTTTCCTATTGGTGCTTTAACAAATTACCACAAATTTAACCCATTTCGGAAGTCCAAAAATCAGCGAGCTGAAGTCAGGTTATCAGGGGAATTCCTTCTGGAGTTTTTGATGGCAGAATCTTTTTTCGTTGTCTCTTCCATTTCAAAAGACCACCTATATATTCTTTGGTTCCTGGCCCTTTCCATCTTCAGAACCAGCAAGCAGTAGAGCATCTTGCATTATCTTTCTCCCCTTCTCCTCTTCCTCTTTCCATCTCTCCTGGCTACCACGGTGTATTATGGAACGATTGAGCCAAACCATTCGTTCAAGTTCTTGAATTCCTGGAGCTTAGATCTTTAGATGAAGAGAAAACCCGTTTTCTATCATTTCTACCCTCTGATGTCTGTGTAATAGGCTTCTTGTAACAACTCAGATGCTGTAGAAGTAAGGCCACCTCGCCAGTTTCCTTGCTTCAAACTCAAAGTTTAATTGACACCCATATCTCTGCGTATATGACTTTATACTTTTTTTTTTTTTTTTTTTTTTGAGACGGAGTTTCGCTCTGTCACCCAGACTGGAGAGCAGTGGCACGATCTCAGCTCACTGCAACTTCTCCCTCCCAGGTTCAAACTATTCTCCTGCCTCAGCCTCCCCAGTAGCTGGGACTACAGGCACTCACCACCACACCTGGCTAATTTTTGTATTTAGTAGAGATGGGATTTCGCCATATTCGCCAGGCTGGTCTCAAATTCCTGACCTGGTGATCCGCCCACCTCATCCTCCCAAAGTGCTGGGATTACAGGCGTGAACCACTGTGCCCGACCCAGCTTTATACATTTAAATACAGTTTTTAGGCCAGGCATGGTGGCTCATGCTTGTAATCCCAGCACTTTGGGCAGCTGAGGTGGATGGATCACCTGAAGTCAAGACCAGCCTGGCCAACATAACAAAAGCCCCTCTCTACTAAAAATACAAAAATTAGGCATGGGGGTGTGTTCCTGTAATCCCAGCTGCTGTGGAAGCTGAGGCAGGAGAATTGCTTGAACCCAGGGAGCGGGGGTTGCAGTGAGCCAAGATTGTACCATTGCACTCCGTCCTGGGCAACAAGTAAAACTCTGCCTCAAAAAAAACTTGTTTTTAACAAAAATAATTTTATTTTTAAATTTTATTTTGCAACTTATATTTCACCCAACTCTTACCTTGAGCCATCTTACTTAATACACTAAAATATATTCTAGCATAGCTGCTAACCACTCCAGAAAAGTTACCAGGGTTGGAATCTGCTATTATTTGATTCTGAACAAGTGAATATACTTCACCTCCTTGTGTCTGAGTTTCCTCATCTGTTATTCATGGGCTCGTATAAGGGTGAAATGTATGCATGTGAGACAGAACAGTGCCTTGTGTTTGTTTAGTAATCAAGATGTGTTTTATCTTTTTTAATAGGGACATAGTAGGATATCATATGGCAGCTCCCCAACTTAACCAATTGCTGGGTATGAGTACCTAGGTGGTTGGTAGTTTCCTGCTATTAGATTAATGTAGGGAGGCCAGGCGAGGTGGCTCATGCCTATAATCCCAGCTCTCTGGGAGGCGGAGGTAGGCAGATCAGGAGGTCAGGAGTTTGAGACCAGCCTGGCCAACATGGAGAAACCCCGTCTCTACAAAAAATACAAAAATGAGCAGGGCGTGGTGGCGCACACCTGTAGTCCCAGCTACTTGGGAGGCTGAGGTAAAAGAATCACTTGAAACCTGGAGGCGGAGGTTGCAGTGAGCTGAGATAATGTCACTGTACTCCCATCTGGTGACAGAGCGAGACTCCGTCTCAAAAAAAAAAAAGATTAATGTAATGCTCATTCTTACATATAGTGACACTTAGCAGACAGATGGATTCTCAGAAGTCATCAGAGAAGTCAAGATTGTGGTGATTTACTCTTCTATCAATAGCCATTACCCCATTTCCTCACTAGTACTACAAATTAACAACATTGATCTTACTAATTTTTAACCTTTTTTAGCGATGGGGCCTCACTATGTTGCTCAGGCCAGTCTCGAACTCCTGGCCTCAAGTGATCCTCCTACCTCAGCCTCCCAAAGTGCTGGGATTACAGGCATGAACCACTTGCTAGGCCGATTTTACTAATTTTTAGTCAATCTGATGCCATCTTGGTTTAATTTTACATGTTTGGTTTTGTTGAGCATTCTTTTCATACTTAACTATTTGTATTTCCTTTTATGTAGATTAGTTATGCTCTGCATAACAAGGCTTTGATCAATGATGTACAGCATATATGATAGTGGATCCCATAAGATTATAATATCAGTATTTTTACACTACCTTTTTTATGTTTAGATCCATGAATGCTTACTGTTGTGTTACCGTTGCCTACAGTGTTCAATATAGTAACATGCTGTATGGGTTTGTAGCCTAGGACCAATATCTAGCCTACGTGTGGAGTAGGCTGTACCATCTAGATTTGCCTAAGTACATTCTGTGATGTTCACACAGTAATGAAATTGCCTAATGATGCATTTCTCAGAACATCCCTGTCATTAAGCAATGCATGACAGGAAATCATGCATTTGAGTTTGATTATTACTAGATCTTCCTTTTCTATTTCTGTCACACAAAAAACAGCCCAGTTTATTTTGTCTTAACCACACAACCCTCAGACTCCTAGCTGGACTCATATGTATGGCTCTATTCCCCCAGAAGGCTAATGAAGACAAATGTGTTTTAATGGGAAAAACTCATAAGCTGTCTTATTTTTGTTTTTTACAGTGGGTTTTTAGCCCCCCCCCCCCCCCCCCCAGAGATGGGGGTTCTCATCTGTCATCTGCACTGGAGAGCAGTGGGACAATAACTCACTGCAGCCTCAAACTCCTGAGGGCAAGTGATCCTCCCACCTCAGCCTCCTGAGTAGCTGGGACTACAGGCACGTGCCACCATGCCTGGCTACTTTTTTTGGAGCCGGGTCTTACTCTGTTGCTTAGGCTGATCTCAAACTCCTGATCTCAAGTGATCCTCCTGTCTCAGATTACAGGTGTGAACCACCATACCTGGCCCTTTCATTTTATTAAGCCAATATGGACATTGAGTATCAAGAAAAAAAGAGGCCGGGTGTGGTGGCTCATACCTGTAATCCCAGCACTTTGGGAGGCTAAGGCGGGAGGATCCCTGGAGCCCAGAAGTTTGATGCTACAGTGAGCTATGATTGTGCCACTGTACTCCAGTGTGGGAAACAGAGCGAGGCCCCATCTCAAAACAACAACAATAAAACAATCTCTAATATGAAGTGGAATGTGAATATTTTGTGTCTGTATTTGTATGTTACCTATACAATAGAGACTCATCCTTTGTTGAATCAAGTGAATTTATGCCTTGAATATTCACTGAACAAGGGGAGCAATTTTAACAAGAGCTCTAGTAGTCGATCGGCCCGTAATCCCAGCTACTCGGGAGGCTGAGGCAGGATTGCTGGAACCTGAGAGGCAGAGGCTGCAGGGAGCTGAGATTGCACCACTGCACTCCAGCCTAAGTGACAGAGCAAGACTCTTTCTCAAAAAAAAAAAAAAAAAAAAAAAAAAAAAAAAAAAAAAGATAAAGGAAATTCCTGGCCTAGAGACAATAACAAAGTAGTTCAGAGCACTGGCTCTGGAGCTTGACCCCTTCAGTTTAAATCCGAACTCAGCTATTTATTGTATGAATTTAGGCAAGTTACTTAACTTCCCTACACCTCAATATTTTCATCTGTAAAACAGGCAGGATAATGATGGTACTTACCTCATGAGGTTTTCAGCATTAAATGTGAAATGTGAAAAACACCTAGAGCTGATTATCTGGTATACAAGAAGAAGAGCCAGGTCAGTATTATTGCTAGTCTCCACTGTAAGCCTCAGATGTCTGGAACCTTGACCCAGCACAACCTCAAGACTTGCCATCCCTGGTTTCTGCTGCTTTCCTTACATTAGCTCTCCTCTTTGGGACTGATCGCCACAAACCGAAAACAGCTGCTAGCAACTCCCAGCTCCCCAGGTTTGTTCTAAGGAGACTGAGATTCACTCTAGTGTCCAGTTTAAAAATCTGGCCAAGCGCAGTGACTTACACCTGTAATCCCAGCACTTTAGGAGGCCAAAGTGGGTGGATCACAAGGTCAGGAGATCGAGACCATCCTGGCTAACACGATGAAACCGCGTCTCTACTAAAAATACAAAAAATTTGGCAGGCGTCTGTAGTACCAGCTACTCAGGAGGCTGAGGCAGAAGAATGGCATGAACCTGGGAGACATTGCTTGCAGTGAGCAGAGATCGCACCACTGCATTCTAGCCTGGGCAACAAAGCGAAACTCTGTCTAAAAAAATATATAT